CCAATGGACAGGGCTTCTACTGCCTACAACAGATAGCAGCCCTTCAACACCCAACTTAGGTCTCTTCCTTCATGAAGGTTCCAGTTTTCAGCTAACTAAATCCATTTCCTCTTTTCTGGTAAGGGCATCCTTACTAGAAATAAGGGGAAGAAGTAAGTGCAAGAACAGGTGATAGGCTCCACCTGCTGTTCCACAGATGAAACAGTCTGATCAATTTCAGCTCACCAGATCCCCAGGCTCTTCCCCCAGCCCGTGGAGGTCTTACTTCAATTGCAGCAATCAAAATGTGACGTAGAACTACAATACACTTTCTTAAAACAAAGGAGAGTTGAAGGGAGTAAATATCTCCAGGTTTCACCTTCTGTGCCTACAGGTAAACAGGCACTCTGCCCAGCACAGTGCTGGCCTTGAGTCCTTCACGGTAGAATGGGGGACAAGAAATATAAGCATGAAAGATTAAGAACTGATGATTAGGGCTGGGCTATGGCTCAGTTGGTGGAGTGCTTGCCTTACTACATGCATCAGGCCCTGAAAAAAATTCACACATAAAAAAAAAAAAAAAAAAAAAGACTGATGATTAGATGATACTGGATAACCACAGAGGAAAGGTCACAGAGCCCTTGCCACTTATGAGGAAAGGGTCCGAGGGCTGCACCCCAGTTCTGAGCCCCCTGCCATCTAACTGTCCCTTTTAAGCCCTACTGACCTACCCATTGTCTGAGACTTAGGGGGGGTTGTCACCCATTCCAGGAAGAAAGACTTTTCTCAAACATTCTACACACACACACACACACACACACACATGCCTCAGCCCAGATGTGATCCCACTCAGTGTTCTCATAATCTTTGTCCAGATCTGTCTCTACATTTACCATATTTTTAAAGATCAATGTCTCCCCCACAATTCACACAAAAGGCCCTGAGTTTGTCAGCACACAGAATGGATGCTGTGTGCACCTGCACCCCATTCTGGTGAGACTCTCCCTACCCCATACTATCCTTTCCTCCTCTCTCCTTCCAGCTCTCCTTCCACAGATGTCAACCTACATCTCAGTCTGGCGGATGTCCCTGCTTTCTCCAGTTCTTTTCCCCAATAAATCTTTTCCTTTTCTTTCTTTCTTCTTTTTTTTTTTTTTTTTTTTTTTGAGAGAGAGAGAGAGAAGTTTAATATTTATTTTTTAGTTTTCAGCGGACACAACATCTTTGTTTGTATGTGGTGCTGAGGATGGAACCCGGGCTGCACGCATGCCAGGTGAGCGCACTACCGCTTGAGCCACATCCCCAGCCCCCCAGTAAATCTATCTCTTGCACATCTAATCCCATTTTAGCATCTACTTCTTAACAAATTCTAACACTTGGTTATAAGGAATTGCTTTATATTATATTTATATAAACAGTAGATCATTTAGGCATTTAGAATATGGGTTAATTGGTTGACAATGTTGAGTCTAATACCTATATCTTTTAGGTACAGAAGGAAGGAGTCCTAAGTTGGGTCTTTTAAAAAGTCACTGACATTGTGCTGTTCGGATGATATTCTTATTGACATTATTAACAAATTAAAAAATAAAAACTATGCTCCATCCTTAGGAAAAGTCATCTCATATAACCAGAACTTTTTCCCCTCCCTCTTTCCCTTTCTTCCTTCCACAGAATAGCATGCAGGAGTGATTAAAATCATGAGCTCCTAGCCACTTGGGAGACTGAGGCAGAAGGATTACAGATTTAAGGCCAGCCTCAGCAACTTAGCAAGACCATGTTTCAAAATAAAAAATAAAAAAGGCTGAAGATGTAGCTCAGTAACAAAATTGCCCTGGGTTCAACCCTCGATAACTAAAAAAAAAAAAAAAAAAGAAAGAAATTATAAGCTCCCAGGCTATGTGAAATCACAGCTCAACTTTTCCCGTTGCTATGGTCTCTGACATTACCTAAGCTCTTTAAACTTCTGTTTCTGTTCTGAGAAATGGAATGATGCTTCCTCATCTATAATATATGAACTTTCTCAAAAGTACCTACCACATGAGATTGCTTTATGAATCAAATTTAAATAGCTAGTAACTGTGCAGGCAGAGTAAGCACTGAATGTGGTACTTATAATTATTAGCAATTATCTCTGGCGCTGCATGCATGGAAAGAGCAATTATAATGCATTTAAAAGCACTTTGCAAACTAGAAATACTTTTGGAAATTTTATTTTTTCTAAATGAAATAATAAGCATCCATTCACATCAACAAGAAAAAGCTGAAGACTTGTTTATGGCTATGTTCCTCCTGATTTATGAGTACAATGTCAAATATTAGAAAGTAACTATAGACAGCTCCAGTGGCTTCAAAGCCTGAAACTCTTTTGATTTACATGATTTTCAAGAGTTACAATCTTTTCTGACATACACTTGATTACCTAAGATATTGAGTACATTGTTCAAAATATTTTTCTGTAACCTTAGACAATCATGATTAAGCTTTTGCGATTTTACTCAATCACTAGGTGCTAGGCAACGCAACTAGACTACATGACTCCTGACCTATTATTCACTTCTAACTTTAAAGCATACCTATAATTATTTCATTAACCTTTAACTTTAAAGCATACTTATGATTATTGGTAAGCTTTCTTTTTAAATTTTTTTATTTGTTTTAATTAGTCATACATGACAGTACAATGACTTTTACTTCTAAACTAAAATCTCAGTAAAACACACTTAAAGTAGTAAAAGTCTATTATTTAAAAGCCTACTACTCTGAAGTGTCTCTAAAATATATCTATGTTAATTTTACATTATTCTATTTTAATTTCCAAGGTAATTTCCTTTTTTTCATATGACCTATTCAACTGCTTTCTTAATCTTATTTTTTTTTTTTGGTGGGGTTCTTTTTTTTTTTTCTCTCTTTTTTGGAACTGGGGGTCAAACCCAGGGTTTTGCGAATGCAAGGCAGACACTTTGCCACTGAGCTACATCCCAGCCTCAACTGCTTTCTTAAAGAACTTCCTTGATCCTTGGTCAAAGCACACCAATTCTTATGTCTTTGTAATCTTTAACTAAAGGGCAGGCTTTACACCTCAACCCATTTGTCATTTATATTAACTATGTATTTTCCATTTTCATCATAAGTTTCTGCGAAAAGCAAAGGAGGGCCTATTGGTTGGGGAATGTATTTTTATTAGTCTCTTGTTCTCGAGGGGATATCATAAGCTGCATACGGTGGTCCTTGTACTGTTGGCACAGCAATTGTTTTTCTGTAGCTAGGCTATTGAACAGGTTGTGGTTTTAGGATGGGGTTGGGGGAGGCTGGTATAAATTGTTAACCATGGGATAAATATTTCTCGTTGCTTAGGCTTGAGGAATAACATCTTTGTTTGTATCCTGTGAGATATTGAAACATACCTCATGGCATGTCTCCATTGTACCCTTAGTCTCATTCTGAGAATTTTCCTGCAATCTCAGGCAATGCATACTTTTATTATTGATGACATATATCCTGTTATCATATGAGTTATCATAAACAAAACACTTAATATTCCTAATGGTTCCAGTTTCCAGACGGTATGCCTTGCCACAGCATCCCCCATGCTGTGACCCTGTCAGACAGCGGGTGCCAGAATGCCTTCACCAGGTGGACTTGCAAGTTCCAGGGCAGATCAGCCTCAGAAATTTAGAAAGACCCTATCTCAATTTTTTTTTTTAATTAAAAGAGTATTTAGGAAAAAAAAATATGTTATGTCCATGTACAAATATACCACAATAAATCCCACTTGTATATATATTGATGAAGCACCGATTAAAATAATAGTAGAAGGGAGATCAGTTGAGCAAGCGGATCAGGGGAAGAGAGGAAATGAGGGAATGGGAAGTGTAAGGAAAGAAGCAAATGAAGATAACAGGGGCCATGGCTCAACAGTAGCAGGTTTATTTGGGACAAACCTGGGGATGAGGGCCAGTAGAGACTGGGACCCTTTTCCACTTACAGTAGATACAGGGGCACGAGGACCGGGGGAATTTTTGTGATTAGTCGGTTGCTAGGGGTTGTCAGGAAAGTGCCTTTTGGTCATTTTCTTTGAGGTGATCACTACCCCATGTGGAACCATGTGTTTTCCGGGATTCAGTACTAGATACATTAATTTCCTTTCTTTGCATGATGGTGAAGTATTGTCTGGGTTTTAAGGTCAGGCTGAGTCAGCGTAACCTTGAAGTGACTCTTGCTAAGATGGAGGAAATGTTTCAAAATGGGACTGCCTGTGTCAAGATCTACCTAACTGGAAGATACTGGGGAATGAGGTTAATCAAACTGTAATGAATCCCACTATTATATATAATTATAATCTAAAAAAAAAAATGCTTGAGATGTAGCTCAGTGGTTTAGCAAGGGTGTGGGGGCTTGGGTTCCATCGCCAGTAGCATTTGCATCACAAACAAATAACGCTTCTAGACATTTCTACAAGTACAGACATTTTATTTTAAAAAATACAAAACAAAACGTTTCCCTTTCAAAACTCTTCCAATTGTTCTCCAGTACAGACCAGAAAACCTCCTGCATTAGTAGCTAAGCCATTTCTAAATCCGCCATCTCTTTCGCCCAGGAGAGCGAGCCAGGCTGGGGCAGCGGCGGGGCCTGAAGAGAGCCAGGCCTGATGGGCAGCGGGGTCCCCCAGGCTTGGTAAAGGCAGCCCGGACCTCTCACCGCAGAGGCACCAATACCGGGTCTTGCAGAAACGGGGCCAGAGAAGAAAAGCTAAGACCGAGGAACCGAGCGGCAAGGGCCGGGCGCAGAAGGGGCAGGGAGAGGTTTCGTGGGCTCCGCGCCCCCAGCCCCTGGTCGGAGGCTTTGACTCCCGGGGCACCGGACTTGGCGCCGCCCGCATTTCGGAGCACAGTTAAGGTCACCCCGGCGGAGGAGGCGACTCAGGGCCACTGCGGCTCGGACGGCGCGCCGCGGGCGGGGCCGTGGAACTACAATCCCCAGGCGCCCGAGCGCGGCACGTGGTCCTGCGCCAGCCGGCTTAAAGAGCGCGTCCTGGGCGCCCGGGACCGAGGACCCGCGGGCGCAGGCAGACGAGGCGCCGCGTTCCTGCCCAGAGGCGCCGGGAACAGGCGCTGGGGTCGGTGAGACCGCGCGACCCCAGCCCAGAAGGAAGCAGATACACTGGGGAATGCAGCAGAGCGAGTGTGAATGCGACACCCTCCCGGCCCGGGCAAGTGTCACTCCCCCGGCTTCGGTAGGGACCGCGTAGTCGGGTCTCCGAGGATCCTTGTCTCAAAATGATCAGTTAGCCATTGAGCCGAAGGGATTGTAACGATTACACATGAAAAATTGGTTCTATTTCTGCCTTTTCTTTTTTTCAAATGTTTCTATTTCTTCTTCTCCTTGGGCAAAGCCAGATTTTCCCCCTCCCCTTTTAAAAATTTTATGTTGTTTTTTTGTTTTGTTTTGTTTTAAACTTTGCCTTTCTCTAGAGAATTTTGACTTAAGCCGCTTGAGTTAGTTCTTTGCAGTTCTTATCTGTGGATACAGGTGTAAGTTTTTAAGTGTATTACCCCCTCCTCAGTGTTTTAATAATTACATTCTAAATTCACATTAAGCCTTGGGCTGGAGATCATTTTTACCATTTGCTCTTGATAAAAGCTATCCAGAAAGGATAACATCCCAAGTGTATTTTGAAACTCGAATTTTGAAAATATTGATCATCCCGTATTAAAATTGGGCTTCCTTTTTCTATAGGATTTTAACACCTCACCAAGTCAGCAAGTGTTCTTTATTTAGTGCATTGCTTTCTGCAAAGATAAAATTTTGAAGCTCTTCCTACCCTCAGATGGCTGGCAGTGGAGGAGAGGAACCCAAACTTTCCTGTTTCTAACTCTGTCAGGAGGTTTTTATGAAAAGCAAGTGTTAGGGGGAAATTCTGAGGGTTAAGAAATAATTTTCAGCTGGGAGGACCAGGGAATTCACTGGCTTTTAAAGTGAGTTTTTTAAAGGTGGCTAAACTGAGGGGACTGCAGTGGGAGTACCTTGGGAACAAAGACTAGCAGGCCAGGGCCAAGAGGAGCCACAGGGAGCAGTTAATATTCAGTTTTGGCTGGTGCACTGGACTGTGGGGACAGGCCAGGGAGTTGGCCCCAGAAATGTTCCAGCTCCTAGAGGATGGATCTGGCAGCCCCTGTGGCTTGAAGGAGAGAGTGGTTCCCAGTCCCTAACCTGTATTCTCCAAGCCCTATGTTTTGAACTACTCAAGTGGCAATTAATTTGATTTATTTCAACTAAAGACAGAACATCCTGAGAATATCAGGATTACTAAGTATGAAATAAATGCAGACCTAAGCAGAAACCAGAAGTCTATTTAGCCTGAACCTGCTAGTACTGTTTGATTTAGGAGACTTTTGATGCCAGCTTAAGTGCTCGACACTCCTATCATTTGAACCTTGTTGCACTTTGATGGGCCCCATGGGCCAGGGGTTATGTCCACTGGTCTAGATAAGCAGTAACAAGAAATAAGTCATGAGAAGGGCGGTAAAGGAGAGAAAGAATTGCCAGGGGAAAAGATAGCAAAACTGAAATGCCTCAGTTCCTGAATAGACAGGAATAGAGAGGCTTGAGGAGGAGATGCCAGCAGAATGTGTACACCTGGGAAGATGGTGCTGGGAAAGGAATCATAATACCTGTGCCATTTTTTTATGTTCATCAGGCAAGACTTCATGGAGGGCACTGAACATGTACTAGCTATGTGCCTGGCACTGTTGTCAAGCATGTTACATTTAATTTCTCAACTACCCTATGAAACATATCCCCATTTACAGAAGGGTAACTAAGCACAGAGAGGTCATGTAACAGGCCAGAGTTTGCCAGGATGCAGACCCATGAAGTTCGACTACAGAGCTGGCCCTCTAATCCCTCTACTAAAAGGAACAGAGGGAAAAAGCCATTTAGAGGACGACTGGTAGGCCTTCTTGGAGTATCTTGAGTTAATAATATGCTTGTAGGAGTGCCAGGTGAAGAAACACAGCAGGCGAAGTGTCTCACTCATGTGATGCTTGACATTCCTCTGGTATACGTGGGGCCTCCCAGGTTCAGAGGCCAAGTGACCTGCCCATAGTAATGAAGGTGGTCATAGGAGGCCCAAGGACTAGAACCACATCTTGTGATTTCTTGTCTTGTGTTTTCCCTGTGGATCAGGTGATTATATTTATCTTTATAAACTTCCAACATAATTTTAGTCTCAGGTTTTAACTAGGAAATGACAGAGAAATCCTAGCATCCTGTCGCTCAATCTAGGCTCTCCTTCATTGCTCTTCAGCACAGAGGAGCACTGCATACAGTGCTTAAGCTTGATGTCGGGAGCTAGTGTGGCTGGGAACACGTCAGTTTGTAAGGAAAGGTATGTTGGCTTGTCACGGAAGCAATTAGCGTTTCTCAAGGGTTCACCTGAGCTAGGACTCTCTGTCCAGAGTTGATTCTCATTTAGGGAGATGAGGTTCACAGTTATAAGATGAGCAGACAGAATGAGTTTGTTCATAATTAAGTCCTATGTTGGGCTGGAGATTAGCTCAGTTGATAGAGTGCTTGCCTTGCATGCACAAAGCCCTGAGTTCAATCCCCAGCACCACCAAAAAAAAAAATAAATAAATAAAGTGCTATGTTATCTGGGCTAGATCTCAGTGTAGTGGCATTGGATTTTTAATGTGCCTGAAATGTCAGAACTATAACATATCTCCTCTTGTTGATCACTTGTCTGTATCACTGTTATTTGCTAGAAGCCCACTTTTGTATAATAGTCACAAAATACTATCTGATTATTGTTTATTTTCTTCTCTGACTTTAGACGTCGCATATGTGGCTTCAAATCACATTTGTGGCTTTTCTGTCTTATAGCTCAAAAAATAATAATGTGTCTATAACTAGCAAGAGGCAGAGCTGAGAGTTGAAGCAGGCAGTTTGCCCACAGAACCCAGGCTGTCAAGCACTGTGCTCCGTTGGCTGTGTTGGTTCTCCTACACGGTTTACAGGCAGTTGCATTCTGCCAGGGGAAGGGTCCTTTGGCTGCCATGAGTGTGGGGTTGACTTAGCAATGAGCGTCCCCTCCAAGAGGCTTCATCCTCCTGCTACAGTCTGAGCACCTCATTCATCCAACCAAGTAGTTATCGCTTGATAATAGATATCAAGCAAAGGGCTCAAGTCAGGGAGAAAAAGTCCAGTGGAACATTCCCTGACCTCCCTTGGAAGTCTGCTGCAATGGGAAAGAGAGAGGTGAATATGAGGTTTACATGTTCTACTAGAACTCGGAAAACTGAGCAAGATTGGTCAAAATTGGAATATGAAAGGATATTAGGCAAATGTAACTGAAGATTGTTATAAGTCACACTGAAACCTTAAGACTGATTGTAAGTGCTAGTTTTAGGTGAGACTCCAGTTTAACAGAATGAAAACATGGAGAAAGAAAAGAGCATTTTGTTTCTGAACATATTTCAATTTTAGTAATTATTTATATGTTTTTCTTACCTGAATTGGGTTGCACTTCTCTCTTGGGTCTGCTGTTATTGACCCGAATCTTTGAGGTTTTGGTTTGCCTCAGTCATCTGTGTGGCTACAGTCAGAGGCCTTCCAGGCAGGATTTTCCCAGGCCCACCACCCTCTCCTTGACTTTAAAGTTTTCTGCTCATTAGAACTAAACTCTAACATTTTACACTCACTCTGTGCGTTTGTGTGCTTGTAAGCATATTTTACAGCTCTCAACCAGGAATGGACTTTGCCTGGGAGTTTTGTCATTAATTGACATTCCTTGAAGAAAGAGACAAAATGACATGGTATGTTTTCCAGACATTCCAGCAGCTCAATGGCCTCCCCAAAGAAGAAACTTCACGGTCTCGTTGCTGCAACCATCACACCAATGACTGAGAATGGGTAATTATCTTTCGGGACTTACTGGGGATCTGCTCTCATCCAGCTGAGAAGGACGGAAGCACTCTAGAACAGCAGTGATTTAAGCCCCACACCTCTGGGAGTGCCCTTGCCAAATGGCAGCTTCTGTGAGTTGTCCCTCTTTACTCTCTCTGACCCCCTTGTCAGGAAAGAGCTTTCTATATCACCCCACAGAAAGGGAGAAGCAAAAAAATGGCAAACCCAGTGTCTGTAGCTCCACTAAGCAGAGTCTCCCCAGAGTCCACCACAGCCCGGCTTTCCCACGTTGGGCCATTAGAACTGGAGGGGAAGAATCCCGTTTTAGCACGCTTTGGCATCAGGTGCTGTTCTGGCTACTCTGGGGATCTCGTCGCTAGATGTCTGCATGGTGCAGGATTCTGCCAGGCTGTTTAGGGAGGGAGGCACAGCCCAGCGACAGAATGCCTTCTTGGCAAGGTGAGCATGAGGCCCTGGGTTGGAGCTCCAGCACACACCCACAGAAAAGACAGGCAGCTCAGACTTGATAAAATAACCTTCCCTGTGGAAGGTGGATGGGTGTCTGCAAGAGGGAGGCAGACACCCATCATTTTTACAGTCCATTTCAATATCGATTAAATATTGGGAGTGAAGGGAGGGGAAAGAGCCAGAGCACGTGACTGGGGTGTAATCCTCTCCAAGCCAGCATTTGGGCTTCTAGGTGAATATTGTTGCAGTCTCTTTGCTTGGATAATCAGATGATGGTCATGTGCCACAGGTGACCATGCATGATATCCACTCCTCCTTTTTAATCTGTCAGAGGTGGCATGCACCAAAACAGTGAGAATTCTGGTTTTTTTTTTTTCTCTCTCTCTCTCTCTTGACAATCCTATTTTCTTCCTCTGTAAAAAATAATAACAGGCAGACATAGATTTATGAGCATTAAATGAGATAATCCATACAACAGTGCCTAGCATAGGGTCAGTAATTTGAACTTTCATTATATATAAGTTAAGGGCAAGAGGAACATGAACTGTTTAGGGTACATTTTTAAAAAGCCTTTATCTCTGGCTTTTTCTGCTGAATTTGTAGACCTTAACCTTACCCTTTAAACTGAATGACATTTCTTATGATTTTTAGTATCCTCAAAGTTGGCCACATCCCATTTTTCTCTTAGATCATTGGATCCCAATATCTGGCTTCTAGATCCATGAAAAAAGAAAGATCCATCCTCACTGGGTCTAACTTGCTGAAATGGCTTTTAGATTAGTCAACTGAATAACAATTTTCCCCCTTGTTACTTCTCCCTTTCTGCAAGTTCTGAGAAAGACTGAAGTCAGCTATTTCTCAATGCATCAGCTGTTTATTGGGCAGATAAAACAGAAGGCATGTGACTGCATGAGCAGGCAGGGTTTACTTCCTGCAAAAGAGTAGGATCTCTCTGTAAGCTGAAAACACTACCTACATCTGGTCTGTGCTACTTTAACCTCTGAAAAAGAACCTTGTTCACCCGGAAGTGGCTTCTTCTTGTTAGCCTGGAAGTGCTTATCTGGGTCCCCTGCGAGTGTTTGTGTGTTCTCCTGCCTATTCAGCTGTTTCCCTGGAATCCCAGGTCCCATGTGGTAGAGATAACTAAAAGGTCTCTGCTTTCCTGGATCTTTCCCCATTTCTCAAAGTCTTGCCCTGCAACCTCCATTTCACCATTTCCTTTTTTAAATCAGGTCTTCTTTTCTCAACCAGGAACCTCACTTTCCTGAAATTCAAAAATTAGAATGCTGGCTGGGGCTGGGGCTGGGGCTGGGGCTGGGGCTGGGGCTGGGGCTCGGGCTGGGGCTCAGCAGTAGAATACTTGCCTGGCATGTGTGAGGTACTGGGTTCGATTCTCAGCACCACATGTAAACAAATAAAATACAGGTCTATCAACAACTAAATACACACACACACACACACACACACACATATAAAACCCTTAAAAAATTCTTTGTAGGAACTTTTAAGAATTAAACAGTGCAAGTCTCAAGCCAGGCTCAGTGACACATGCCTATAATCCCAGTGACTCAGGAGGCAGAGACAGGAGGATCACATGCTCCAGGCCAGCCTCAAGCCACTTAGCGAGACCTTGTCTTAAACTTAAAAAATAAAATGGACTGAGGATGTAGTACAGCTCTTCTAGGTTCAGTCCCCAGTGCCAGGAAATAAATAAATAAAGCGTTCAACCACATTATCTCCAAGACCCAATCTGACTCTGAGGCTGCAGTGTCCTGGTGTTATGTCATTAGCCATATAGTATCACCAGTTAGACTATAAAGTAGCTGCAACTCCCCTCCGTTCTCTACCCTGCAGCCCAGGGAGCTTCCTAGTGAATAAATCTGAGGTCTCCTTTTTAGGAATCTCTGTTGACTCCCTTTTGTGAAGCCCTTGCCACTCGTTTTGTGGCCCATGGACCAGTTGCTCCAGTGTCACATAGGAACTTAGTAGGCAGGCGGGATCTCAGACCCTACCACCTACCACCGAACCAGGACCTGCATGTTACCAAGGGGTCCCAGATGATTCTTTAGTGCCTGGAAGTCTGAGATGAACTGGTGTAAAGATGAAAGCCCAAATTCCCATGACGTAGGAGGTCCTAACCAACTTACCTTTCATTTCTACTGCTTTGTGTCTGTTTCCCTCAACCGTCAAAGCCTTTTTCCCTTCCAGGCTTCCGCCTTTGGCATCTGCTTCCCGTCTTTCTGCACCATCACCCTTTCCTCTTTCTACTCTGCTGGAACGTTTCTAATTACCCATCAAAAACATTTCCAGGCAAAGGAAATTTCTCCCTCTTCTCTAAAGGTTTGAGTCTTTAAGTCTGTTGAAATAAGCTGGCGATAGATTTATAAGAGAAGAGCATACAAATTTGTTTAATGTGGACACACGCACAGGAGTCATACAAAATGTGACACTCAAAGGAGGACGAGGTGACTGGAGGTCTACACACCCTCTTCACAGTGGAGAGGGAATTGGGACTGCAGGCACTTTCAGAGGAAGAGTAAATTGTTTTTTCAAAGAAATAAAGGGGGCCGGCCCCAAAAGTGGACCGTCATTCATAAATGGTTTTGTTTTTTTGTTTTATTTTCTGGAAACTGAATGACACTGAAGAACAGATAGTAGCTTGTGACAGTGTTTTGGTATGGTAGCATTCCCACTTTTTTCTTCTGCCAATGTGACTTTAATCTTCCCTGTTCAGTAAAGTTTCATACAGGATATGACAATGGAATTAGGTTCCTTCTGATAAGGGAACATCAGAGTGTTCTCCCGTCCTGGAGAAGGAGCAGGAGGTCACATAGTCCATGGTTCTCAGCCTGCTCCTAAAAGCACTTAATCTTCTTTAGCTCAAAGTGCTCAGCACACCAGAGCTCCAAACGCTGGGTATCATTTTCCTGGCCCCAACACCGTCCTTTGGGAATTCTTCCCTACTCCCCTGAAAAAATTTAGAGGATCCTTCCCTGGTATCTCCTGCCTCCCCATGCACACCTTTCTGCATAGCATCCAAGTTACTTCCTGCTGTTTTGCCTTATTCATCAGGTATTTACTGAGTGCCAGGCAACAGGTAAGACACATGCAACTGGGCATGTGTCTTATTTTATATCTTCAGCATCTAGTGGCACTGGGGTAGATTTTATTTCAGGAGTAACATGCTTCACGGATGTTTAATACCAATAGTCAACAGAAAGGAAGAGGGCCGAGGTTGTGGCTCAGTGGTAGAGTGCTCGCCTAGCACATGTGAGGCACTGGGTTCAAACCTCACCACCACATAAAAATGAAATAAAGAAATTGTGTCTACTAAAACTAAAAAAATAAATATAAAAAAGAGGAAGAGAAGCAGCTCATGTTGGTTGATCAGATCCCCTCTGTCTTTCTTTGTGCTGGGCATTTTTATTTATGTGTTGCGTTCCAGTGTAATTCTGACAATGACTGTGAAGGAGCTGTATCTTATACCTTTTTTTTTTTCTCCATACCAAGAATTGAACCCAGGGGCACTCAATCACTGAGCCACATCTCCAGCCCTTTTTAGTTTTTTTATTTTAAGACAGGGTCTCACTAAATTGTTAAAGGCTGGCTTTAATCCCACTGGGATTACAGATATGCACCACCACACCTGGTTTATACTTTATTTAGTGACAGGGTCTTGCTAAATTGCTTAGGGTCTCACTAAGTTGTTATGTAGAAAAGCAAAATAAAACAGAAAATCCATACCTCATCATACCAGTCCATGTGACCATCTTTCACAGTGTGTCATATACCAGAGAGGAAACGAACACCAATAGGGATTTCACTCTGAATAACTAGTTAAGGCTGGCTTTGAACTCGTGATCCTCCTGCCTCAGACTCCTGAGCTGCTTGGATTACAGGCGTGTGCCACTGTATCTCTATTTTTGCAGTTGAAGACACTGCAAACTTTGGAAATGAAGGACTAGCAAGCTCGCCCAAGCCACATAGCTGGAAACAGATCTTTATCTACCATCCCACCAGTCATCCCACCGTCCTCTTTTCTTTCTTTGCTTTTTTTCTCCCTAGTGCTAGGGATTGAACCCAGGACTTTTCAGATGCTAGACAAGTACTCCACCACTGAGCTGCACCTTCAGGCCCCAGCTTCATTTTTTTCAGTAGAAAAAAGACACCTGCTTTCCTTAGTTGCTTCAAGAAGTCACCTTTTCCTTTGGGCAAGTTCACAGTCACTAGAACAAAAAGTCCATTTCAGATTGGCAAAAATATCCCCAAAAAAGTCGTGTTTCTTTCTTCCATGCCCTTGGCAACACCATGGGAATCTAACACCCTCTCCTAAAACAAACCTGTTAGCCCTGTCGGAAAGGCCTGGCCTGCTGGGGTCAGAGTCACATTGATTATTGTCTCTTTGACTGTGTTTGGGAGTCCCGATCACCAGCCAGCCGGAGCAGAACATTTCCCACTTCCTGCAGGGTAGAACAGTTTGGTCCCTGCATGCTTCTCTGCCCAGGAAGTTCTGAAGCAGCCATATTGTTATTTTGCCA